TGGAACCGATTTAAACCGTCAATACCGGCGGCAACGTTATTTTTTAATGTTTTGATCAGTATTTCAATTTTGATCGGCGTAGTTGGCTTAAACATTACAGAATTCAGCAAAGGCTTTGTTCCGTCAATGACAAAATCCCCCGCGTCCTTTTCTTCACTTTCACCCACACTGACAAAATTTGCATTAATAATATTTGCAAGATCTTCCCCTTCAAACTTCTCATTACCGATAATAATTCCATCTATACACGCGAAAGAAGATTTCCTATTTGTGATATCATTCACTGCGTTCCATATCTTTCTCGGCCCGTAACTTATATCGTTGAACATATTCTTATGATACTCACGTTTTGTTTCTTTTTTATATCGGCTGTTAATTTCTTTCTTTTTTAAACCGAATCAGAAGTTGCTGGTCACGTGTTTTGACGAAGTCATGATACATATTGTTTTTTTCATTTATTCTTTTATTAAGACATTCCGTTATCCATGGCTTCCTCACTTTCTGCTTTTTATTTTTGGATTGTATAAGGGGGAATGTAATGAATTATTGAGAAAAATAACTTTACTTTGCACTTTACTTTGAAAATACAATTCTGTTTGTAGTAACTACAAACAAATTGCAGCCGGTGTACTTACCCCTTTACTTGAAGTAGAAAACCTATTGTTTGTATTGCACATTACTTTAAGTACATTTTCAATGTACCTTACGTGACACTGTAAATAAGCAAGCAATGTCTGTAAAATCAAGCTCTGTCAGTGTTGTTTCTCTAGAAATGATACATCTACAGTACATCTTTGAACAAAAAAAAAAAAAAAGAAAAACCTGGAATTGAGTCTACGAGGCTATGCAGCGCAAGCTTTCGCTACACGACCCAGCAAACACGCGGGAGCCCACTCGACCGCCCCCCCCCCCCCCCCCCCCCCTCTTTTCTGCGGCCAACGATGCCCTTTCTTGTGAACACATTCCCGCAGCTTGCGAAAACCACAAAGATGTTACAACTCCCGCCAGACGTGAGGACATTCGAGATGGCAGCGTCTTTGTTTGAAAAGGTGTATATATAGAGTCGTGTCTTGCTAATATGGACGCTTCTGTTCCGTAGAAATATTGTCCATAGTGTGAGTCGTTCATCATACACACTCGGGGTCAAAACATTAACATGCGTAGCACCAACATATGTATGGTTTATTGAGCTAGAAAAAAGAAAAGACGGGAGGTTGTACTGACGGTTTTGAGCCTACATTTTTGTCCAGAAAATGAATACGTCCGCCGCATGAAGCGAGCGTTTTCACAGTTACCACTATCAGCGCAGAGTTTTCTTCGAATTATTTTTTTTTATGCTCAACTAAAAATTAACAAAAAAAACTTGGAGGGCGCTTGAACTTCGTCTTTAAGAGGTGAATGCGACAGCGTTATCCGGCCCCGTTCTCATCGCCTTGCCACTTGCTTCTCGTGCTCTTTCTGCTAGCGGCTAGCAAGTGCGGCGGACATGGCCTAGTTTCTAGCCTGTGATTCGGCTTCCAGCACTTGTGGCTGACGGACGTGCAAATCATAAGCTCCGTCGAAACACGTTCTACTGCTAACCTTATCCTAGTTCCTTCTGTCCCAGCTGCCACGCGTCCTCGCAGGACGACAACATTATTCTGTCTACCCTGCCTTTAGGCAGATACTCTTTCAACTCGGTTTTTCTTCACGCAAACCTTTCAGCGACACCGTACCTACTCGACGATTTTGGCGAGGCCTTGAGAGGCGTCCTTGACACGAGGATGGACCTTGCTTGCCTTAGGGCGTTTCAGTTGAAGCATGTGCGGAGGCTCACACTGCACAATGCTGCTGCAAAGGGAAAACTCGTCTGCATGAAAGAACTGAAAATCAAGAGAAATAAAAACTCTCGTCATCAGCCCAAGCCGGTGCGAAAGGTCGTTCAGGGTGCATTGGATTCCCCTAAATGTCCCGGACGAGGAGGTGAAAAGAATATTTGAAGGCTACGGGAAGGTCAAGGCTATCGCGCGTGAAAGGTGGCGCCGGCCGTGGTACGAGAACATCGAGACAACAAGGAGGACAATCACCTTGGTTCTCAAGAAGTGCACAACAGTCGACGCCTTTCCACACCAGTTGCATCTTCTCGGAAATGCAGTGTTGGTCTTCATCCCAGGCCAACCACAAATGTGCCTGCGCTGTAAGACAGTGGGAGACATGAGGAAGCAGTGCAGGGCGGCCTGGTGTAACCTGTGCCGCACCTTCGGACACGACAAGGACAATTGGATCCAAACTTTCGCAGAAAAAACAAAACCTGCAAGCTTTGACAAGAATCTAAAAAAACTAATGGGCAAAAATAAAATAAAGAAAACCATCGGGGAGCCTCTAGCGATGGCTCAGGGTTCTCAAATGACGAAGAGGACCAAGGCAGTGCTTACTGCACAACACTTTGAGCAGAACACTGAAGATCAGGTCATCAAGGGAACTCCTGCAGTGGGACGAGCCGACAAGGGGGCAGGTGAATCGGAAAAGCACAACAGCTGCAAAAGGCTGCGCCGCCCAAAGTTTCGGTGGAGTGCCACGAAAGTGAGGTAGAATCAGACGATGCAATGGAAGCAGGAAGTGGTCAACCGCACTGGGCGTCAGGCACGAAAAAAGGCTCTACGAAGCGGCCGGATCATCCATCAAAGGGCACCGCGTCGGAACAACACTTCCAGCTTGTGACCAGCAAACTCTGAAAAAAATAACGAAAGCCCGCAGTCTCCGCTCCGACTAACGGAGGTCGGAGCGTCGGCTTTGGAGGACTTTGCTCTCCACAATGAATAGACAGCCGAACCGTGTGTTGATCAGCTTTTCATGTTATGAACAAGAACACTCTTGTGGTGACGTTGGTGTTTGACCTACGATTGTTTTTTTTTGATTGAATGGTATTCTAATTTGTGAGAGTCTACAAATGGGCTTAACAAAAAAAAATATAGATGGTGGGATTATTGACCGTTCTGAGTTTGGTGTACCGTAAACGGAAGCAGTGGCTGTCTGACCTCTCGTTGAGAAGCGACTCGATATTGTCTGTGTACAGGAAACTAAGTTAGATACACCCGAAAGAGAAGAAGAGGGAGAATTATGTATGAGGCACTTTCAAGTCTTTACATCCCCGGCATTCGGCCAAAGCGGCGAGCGCGCAGTGTGTGTACTCCGGGATACGGCCCATTCGTCACATGTCGATTCGTCATAGGGCAACTGGTAACAGGCCCGTTCGTCACAGCGGAACATTGGTCACAGGGTGATTCGTCACGCTGGCAGTTCGTCACACAACGACTTCAAGATTGTTAAACGTTTTTTTTTTTTTTTTTTTCCATCTTGTTTTCTTAGGAAAGTTACGAAAGGGGGCCACTTAACTAAATCCGTACAAGGCCAGTGAGGTTGACTAGGGGAAACAAAAGCATGTCCCAAAGACCCTAAGTTAAGGCAGCATGCAGCGTTTAGCCTGCATGTTGTCTTATCGGGGTCACATTTCTTACAAAAGACCTTCGAGAACATAAAGTTCACAATTAAAAAAAAAACCACCGAACGCGATTCTTTCTTTTTTTCTTTTTTTTTTGTGCCCTGTTTCAGGGCTTATTATGCCGGTTGCCCTCCAATTACAAAAATATCACGAGTCTCGATTTCTAAATGGAGGTAGTTACTACTAAGAGAGGTGGCGATATGCTTCTTCACGAAGGACATTCATTAACGTTTACGAAACTACGTTGTATTGGGCCTGCCGCCGAAAAGGAGTTTTTAAAACTAAAATAGTCACCGATCACGCCAAGACTCGAGTAATCTCTTATTCAGGAGACCATACGCATGCATTTGACAACGTGTAGTGCACGAAAGCACCCAATGTCAAAAACCCCGTATCAAATGCCCCGCGGCGAACGCTCCGGCCTTTTCGCCCCGCTTTCAAAATGCCCCAATTTCGAAAGCCCATGACGCGAATGCCCCGTGTCAGATGGCCGGGTCCTCAGCGCGAGGGCGGAGCATTCTGCTTTTAACTAAGCGACAGTAAGTGCGCACGCGAGCTGTGTAACAATCATGCCGTGCCCGGGACTCAAGTATAAGGAATAAATAGATAAAGCTTCCCCTTCTTCAAGCGTACGCTCTACATATTCACATCTTGTGGCGACGGTTCTGTCAAAACTGCTAACCCGCAGATCGTGGCGCTGTACTTATTGCATATACAGCACCAAACACCACTTCCATTCTTAGGTCGTTCTAAAATATTTGCATCTACCTAGGTAGATAAAGTCTATAATTCTACGTCTGAATATATCTCTATGATAGCAGGGCGCGTGGCTGGTTATGCAGATTTATGCAATTAGCCACTTGTAGGACGTCATTCTAGGTTTTTCTGCGGTTCAAGTTGACAAAGAACAATGCTGGTTCAAGCGCGAAAAGAATGGGACGGGGGCATCGAGGACGGGGCTTTTGGCACGGGGGGAATACGGGACGGGGTAATTGAACACGGGGTTTTTGAAACGTGGGGCTAATGACGCGGGGCTTTTGCGATGGGGATCCTGCACGCGGGGCAATCGTGCTACACCCTTGACAACACCAAGATAAACGTGCTTGGGTTCGTCATGAGATGAAGGAAAAAGCTGGTATGTACCAAAATCTGTTCCTGCTCTTCTATTCCCAAAACAAGGTCATTAATGTCCTTTATTCCAGTGGAAGGCCGTCTATCACCCCACCAAATGCTTCTGGCTGCGGTTGCCTGTGCACGTGACGACACTTTTTTGCAGATTCCCGCACCGCCAACACTCCGGCGCACCATCCGCAAGCAAAGGCAGCGGCCGAATTTCGAGTACAGCGTATCATCTTGCAGAGCCGACATACGATCGAATGCCCACAGAGTTCAAAGTAAAGTGTATTGCAGCGCGAAATCACAGTGCACGACATATTATGATAATAATGACTGTTTTACCTGCATGCAGACCACAGCCAAAAAAAGACTCCTTTCTCCTCCACGATAGCGGAGAGGGCGACGGCGAAAGAATCCTGATCTTTGCCACCGAGCGCAACTTGAGCTGTCTGGCTCACGCGACTACGTGGTTCGCGGACAAGACCTTGAAAGTGACCCCGGCACAGTTCTACTAACTGTACACGGAGCATGCCACAGTCAACGGCGTGGTAAAGCCAATGGTTTACTGCTTGCTGCCCAACAAATCTGAAGCTACCTACAAAAGGTAAGCATTCAAGAGCTCTGATAAACGTATAAAACGAAACGCTCGGTGGTCCTATTATTGGATATGTGTTGAAACACTTCAAAATATGTTCGCTCGTTTTAAGGTTTTTCGACGTCGTTCTGAGTCACATGGGGGGCCAACTGCCTTGAGGTGGCTTACACGGACTTCAAGATAGCGGCCATCAACGATACAGGGATGTTTTTTTCAGCTCAGACAATTCAGATGACGAGTTTGCTGTTCTGGTATGCGGCATTCTATTTATACGTATTATTGTTGTCTTCAGGTAAGCCAATTGGTTACTTTATTTCTTGTTGATTTTCAAATGGGAATGCATCCAGCATTGGCCTTCTTGCGAATCGCCGACATTCCCGAGGCCTTCGAGGAACTTCTCGAGGTTTTCCCAACCGATGCCTTACTCGTGGCGGACTACTTCGAGGACGTGTATATCGGGAGACCCCGTCGAAACGGCTTGTCGTCGGCCACCTCCCCTCTTCTGGTTTGGTCAGTCATAGAATCAACACTAGCAGGAAGGCCAACAAGGACGAACAACAGCATCGAAGCGTGGCTCCGGGGACTGCACGTAAGAACTGACCCAAACCTCTGAGAACTTGGACGCTTTCTGTAGTACATGTTTGCATTTGTGGCTCAAAATTTCAGTAGGGTGCCCACTCAAAAAGCTTTCTCCACGAGTGTGTGTGTTCTTTTTTCTTTTTATCCTTAACAGAGATGAAGCTGGCTCAAGCGGAGGGTGGCACGACATCTTCGACGGTGTCCAAGAAGCACGACGACAGCAAACGGCGTCTTCAAATCATTGTGAGCCGCTATAATGGTCGCAATCGTCTAGAAACCCTGAGGGTGGCAGCTCGGAATATCACTTTTTAATTTTTTTTTATTTCGCTCAATAAATCTGTTGTTTTTTTAAGAACAACGATGACTTGTTTGGATGTTCCCTCTCTTTAGTAAAATTAAATATACCGTACTAATCTTTATTGCTTGCACAGCCAGGTGAATATATGTTGGGCAAATTCAAATATCCGGTTCGCACAGTGACAAACGTTCCTAGGGACAAATTCCCCTATGACGAATATTTCGCTGTGACGAACGGGCCTATTACCAGTTGGCCTATGACGAATGCGCACATGACAAACGGGCCTACACCCGTGTACTCCGTAGGTCATTTGCGCAGATTGTCCCCGATTTCGGGTTCCATCCTAATGGTCGGATACGTTTAGTTGACTGTTTAGTCTCGAAAGCCATGATATGGTTGGTTTACCTCTACGCTTCTAATAACGAAAGCGATGGAAAGATTTTCTTCTTGCTTTAAATCAGGTGCTTCACACGTCTGCAAGCATTTTGTTATGCGGTGACTTCAACTCTGCTCTCAGCGCCGACGACATAATGCCGCGAAGAACTCTTGCTGACGCTAGCGCGCCTGCTTTGCGTGACTTGCTAAAAGAAGACATTATAATCGATGCTGCGGAGACGGTACATGGTGACACACTCCGGTATGCGCATTGGCAGAGTGACTCGTAAGCGCGTTTACATAGAATTTATATATCAAGTAATTTCAATTTTGCTTGTTCGTGGTACGCAGTGAATGCCGTCGAGTTTTCTGGCCAAGTTATGCTTATGTTTTGACTAAACGTTGCGGATAAATCACGCCCCATCAAAAAAAAAAAAAAAGCAGAGACACACTGTAAAATTAAGCAGAGCATTCTGGAAGATAAAGAGCGTGTGGATAACTTTGGGAAGATTGGGCAAGGACAGCACAAGTCCCTGTATTTGATGCCGTTTCTTGGGAAATCTTAGAGCAGAAGGGGAAGGATGCCGCAACAGCGTAACGCGAATACAAAAGTAAGAAAAGACAAGCGAAAAAGCGAGAAAAGATTGCGAATTTAGTAATAACGATTAAAGCGAACGAGGCCTTCCCGGGGAAGTTCCTGGGGTACATTAAAAGTGTGAAAAAAAGTCCTTCTATCGCTTCTGAAAGAGCAATATACAGGTGCGACGGTAAGGTCACCTGCGAACATTCTCGAGAGAGACGAACAAGGATCAAAATATTTCAAACGTCGTAAAAGCAACAAGATTGTGCAAACACAATTTGGAAAACTGCAAATAAGAACTGCAGCTTGTGGGTTCACAGCAGGAAATAGAAAACAACTTTCACGAAAAATCAAGTCTCTCTTCAGAAAAAAGAAGAAGAAAAAAACACACATATATAGCGTCATGACGTTTTCCTTAGTGATGTTCTAAAAACAAAATAAAGAACTCTTGGAAATGATGAATTCTGAAATCACTGAAAGGGAAATAGCAAGAGAAATAGCAGATATGCCACAGAACAAATCTCCAGGACCAGACGGGATTGGCAGCGGCTTCAACAAAATGTTTTCGGAGCAGCTACGTCCGCTACTTAGAAGGCTTTTCAGGATGTCAACAAACCCAATCTGCTACAGCCCAGTATGTGAAAAGCATTGACAGTGGTTATTTATAAAGCTCACGCTGTTGAAGAAACTAAGAGTGTACAGCTACCGACCTATAAGACCTATATGCACAGATTGTAAAATATATGTCGCGAATTCATGCAAAAAGATTAGAGATAGGGCTCCGAGAGGATATCGGGGCTCACCAGACCTACGGCTTGAAGGGGGGGACAACCGCAGACAACCTGCATACGATGCGGGAGGTTTGTGAAGTTACGGCCCAGCCAGACACACCACTTGCGGTTATTCGGGTTGACTTGAGTCGAGTGTTTGATAGGGTGAACCAGGGCTTTCTCTTTGGACTGCTCGATTTTGTAGGCCCCGGTTTATACCTTAGGGAGTGGGTCCGGTTACGCTACACGAATTTTCCACTACTCAACTTGTGATAAATCGGACAAAAACAAACAACACTGAATTTGATGGATCAACGAGACAAGGGCGTCCTTTGTCGCCTTTAATTTTTCCCTTTATCTAGAACCGCTGTGTCGGTCGCTCAGCTTGAGCAGAGACATAAGAGGTCTTCAGATGCTCATCATGACCCTTTAAGTGCTAGCTTATGCGGACGACGTTGCTATCACAATATCAGACGAAGGTGAGCTACCCAAGTTACTCAAGATACTGGAAGAGTACTGTGCCGGACCGGGAGCGAAGGTCAACACTGAGAAGACCACAGCAGCATTGCTGGGCAACTCACCGTGCAAGCAAGCATTGCTGCTGGGCCTAAAGCGGTCCTCGTGGATGAATACCTACCTAGGAGTACAGCTGGGGTCTCCCAAATTGACTCACAAGGCATGGGCGTCAAAATTTCGAGCGATGAGAATGTCCCTTCTTCCTTGGCGGAAAATAGAGATAAACGCAATCCAGCGCAGCCACGACTTTAACGTTGTCCCGCTCTCTGGCATGCTTTATGTAGCATGTGTAGTCCCAGTTAGCAACAGCGTCATCAGCAAAGTCGATCGCCAGTTCGCCACATTTATTTGGGCGTCACCGATGGAAATGATGCGGCGAACTTTTGTTTGCGCTGTAACTTTTTTTACGAACTAGGCTATTCTTGGAACTTAGCAATGGAGACTCCGGCCTGGTCAATGTTGCTCTGAAGCTAATAGTGCAGCTCTAGTGTTTCCTTGGAAACCACCAAGAAGGAATCACGGGAACAGCGCTGCGGCGGCACGGAGCCGCCTACCTAAGCATGAGGCTGGTGGTCGCGAGAGAAATTCCGAAGACGTCGATACACTTTGCGTTCTACACGAAGATCACAGAAGAAATATCCTTTTTCGAAGCACGGTTTTTGTATGAGTACCGGCTGCTAGTAACTAAAAGAAACTTTGCCGGGACACGCTGAGCACTGTTTCCTTTACCGTTGTGGAGGAGGGGGATGGAGCTTACGAGGGATACGACGTTCTCAAAAGGCTAAGGAAGTTGCGTATTTTCATAATTACGAAACAGTTCTTCATTAGTTTCCACACCGACACGTTGCCGGTGAAAGCGCGGCCGGAAGCAAGGGGTTTTTACGTGCCATTAGGGAGCGACTGCTGCTATTGCGAAGAAAAGGAAACCCTGCAACATGTTTTCCTATATTGCAAAAAGCGTTTTATGCTTCTGGGCAGTTTTTCGGCATTTGCTAGAAACGAAGTTTGCGCCATGCTGGGCATCCTTAAACTTCTTACATTGCGAACAGGACACTTCTCATATGTTCCAAGCTTTGGTAGTTATGGCGCTACAAGCCTTGTGAATATGTAGAACGCTTAAGGTTGTGGCTGCTCCGCGCTTAAGCACAGCCTCGCTGCTTTTTAAAGAGCGCACAGGATGCGGCAATGAGCGCTGTGAACCAAATACCGGAAGACGAAAGAGAGAACTGGCAACGTGTTAAGCGGAAACTGCGTAAGTGGCGGCACCGGCAAAAAACATCCGGGCTGGTCAATTCAAAATGTCTACTTTGTATATACCTTAAGTTTTTCGCACTCATGTGTACTAACACCTGGGTCTTCTTTGAAATTAGATGTGCATTGCTTTAAACGGAGTGATTTGTGAGTGCTGAAAAGTGATGCAAGGAATGTATCGCATTACCTAGCCGTGAGGCTGGTACCTTTTATGTAAACCAATAAAATAAAAAAAAGCCTAGTCACTAGCGTGTCTGGATCGTGGACGAACAGACGTGGATTTGAATCTCACCTGAAACGTTTAACATTTTTTTAAGCAGATGAATTACTTTAAAAAAATCATTTGATACATGTGGCGACCTTTAATTCGAATTAAAGGTCGTGTATTTTAATCCGTTTCCTTCCGCGCGTGACGTCACATTTCACGTGAGCCTTGTGGATTGTTCGAAATTTCCGCGCTAGGTCATATGGCTGTAAAGTCACGACCATATCGACCAATCAGGATGTCCGTGTCATGCCACCGACGCCGGCTTTTCTGCCACGCCACTGAGGCCGGCGGTCTACTACACGAGTTTCCTAACGTTTTTGAGTTAAAACTTATCTTTACCTGGAGGTTTTGTGTGTTTACCCTCGACACTCCGTGGTCTCTGACCACTTCCGCTTCTCGCCTAACATCGTCTGCTCTGCCACCCAAATTCCCCCAAGCAATGATGAGGCCTACATTGAGGTGGCCTTGCTGGTGTATGGTGCGTTTTTCTTTGTTCCCGGATATCGGTCATACACAATATCATGAAACAATAGACTGCAAACGATAATACGAATATACATTCTTGTGTGCAGCTTTCATTCCAAGACCGGCAATGAACATCCAGATGCGCACTGTCACCTGTTGGGTTCACTAATATCTTAAAGGCGTTTTTGAATAATTTTTTAACTGGGCTACTGGTGTCCACAACAGCAAGACGAAAATGGCCGTATTTACCCAGTTCGTCCACAAAAAAGTTGTCCATA